TTTTTCACTGTACAACATACTTTTCCTACTGGATGAAGTTGTATATTTTGTAGCCATAAACATGTAAAGGGATGTTTTATGAATAGCATGTTTTTGCAATGGAGGGAATGGGCTTGTATCTCTTTCCTGTGAACCCAGGCGGCTATTTAACCAGTCTGGGCCTCGATTTCTCCCTGAAAAAGAATGATGATAACTGCAGATTCACCTTTCCTAAGGTTACTGGGAAATCGACATTCCTAATGAGACTTGTTTAGTCTCACTATGCAAACGTCAAGTTTTATATACTTGCGTGCCTTTTTATCCACGAACCTTTGGAGGAGCCATGTTCTACACTGTTTTGCATTTTTCTATGAAGATGCAGTAGCTCTGACTGATTTGGCAGATGTACAGATAATATTAATCTTCATCATGGACTGTCCTTAGCAACATAAGTTCTTGGGGTTGAAACTATGCTAAGAGGAGGCTGGACCTAGGATAGCAAGGAGATAGTCTGAAGGTTACAGGTATCATGTCTCCTAGGTGACCAACTTAAATAGGTGAACTTCTTGTAACTCCTGCCTTAGAACAGACTCTGAAGGCTTAATGTTGTCTTTGAGAGCTGGCACAGTGCAGTGACTGAAAGAGCAGGCTCTGGTATCTGCCTGTGTTGGTCTGAGTTCAAGTTCTCCTCAAACCACTTGACATGCATTGGGCCTTTGACCTAAATAGTAAAACGTAAATTCCAGTAGTCAATGGGTTTCATATTTCTGGCTCAAAACGTCATTACCAGCTTAGATAAATTAGGTATTAAAATAACACCTAATATTATTATTATTATCTCATAGTTCCGAATACTGAAGTCAAGGCCAAACTCCAAGGACTGACATAGACACATTCGTTTTTAAATATTCTCTTTTCTCTTTCAGGCTCAATATAGTGCCATCTGGTTATAGGACTGAGGTCCTTGTTTACTTGCTGGGTCCCCAACATCTTGTGGCCACCTATATATTCAAATTGTCTCGGATCTGCCTTGCACTGGATTTTCTGTCTTCTCCCTTGCCTTCCTTTCCAATTCCAGCTGAGAAAAGTTGGCAGTCATGCCTTTGTTAGTAGATAGGTCCTATGTGGAGACCTTTGATCTTAATTATATCTCTTATATATCTAAGTCTCTTCTGCCGAGTAAAGTAATACAGCGAGATTCTAAAGTGATCATCTAGAGTATGGATATTTTTGGAGGGGAGGTAGGATATACCAATTCTGCCTGTAATGAATATTTTAGTACCTGTTTTACAAAGTCATTATGAAAGTTGAGGGACCTACTCATCTTTATCTAGTGGCAGCCAATTTAAGTAGCCTCTGGTCCCCCTTTAAATGACTCCGTGAGTCTGTAGTAGGATAATGTGACTGACACTCTTGCCCTAAGTTGTGGTTAGCTATCTCTACAAAGCATCTTAGCTCTTTTTTAATGCAAATGGCAGTGTATTGTCTGGGAACCAGGGCTGGGATCCATTTAAACTTCTATAATTCCACTTATGTTGGGGTAGATGGTGACTCCTTGTTGGTGATTTATTCCATTCTCCGTGTGCCCCCTACTCCCTGTATACTTCCCAGTCCTGGTGCTTACGACTACCAGGGCTCCTGAGATTCTTCATCTTTGCCTGAAGCAGACAGTCCAGAGACAGTTTCTCTCTTTCCTCCTTCTCTTTCAATGCAGACTTCCTTGCTCATCTCTGGCTTTCTAAGATGACATGGGAATCACTTCCATACTGTGTTGTAATATGAAAAGGACAATAACATCCTTCGTCAAATCCTGCACAGTTTCATGCAGAAGTCTTTGTCCACCTCATCAGGTGGCTCCTGCACATGCGGGGATGCTTTGGTTTCCTGTTTTGTTCTTTGGTATCTTTGTAATGTGAAATGCCTAGGTCTCTTTACAGGCTGCACTCAGCCTGGTCAATCTCCAGAAAGAAGGGATATTTTTGTAGCCTCAGATTCTGTAGCTCGGAGGCACAAGAATCTGTGAGAGTCAGAAGAGCTGGATGAGACTGAAGATGAAGTGAGGTTTCATGTTGATACTGAATCCCTGAGGCTCTGATTTATTTGATACAGGTGAAGTAAAATTCACCATGTTGTTTATGGCTGCTGAGAAGCCCATGTCCCACTGTGTTTTACGATCTCATGTGAACAACGGAGAGATAAGTCACCCATGGAGTTCTGAACAGGTGTCTTGTAAACTCCAGGACATAAACCTTACATGGAGAAAGGTGTCCGTTTGGTGCTAGAGTTGCTGCGTTGTCTAGGGTAATGGATTTAAGTGCATTTTAGCAGTTCCTAAAAGAGTCTAGAATGCTCTGTTTATTTCCAAAACATTCTATTGTTCAAATATGCCTGACGCTGTTGCAGAGACCTCTTCCTGCTGCCATGTTCAGGGAAGTCTGGGCTGACCAACTCTGGTAAACAGTCAGGTTCAACACTGCCACAGCCTTCCGATGGCCACAATCTTGACGAGGACACAGTCAAGACTGGAAACTGAGTTCTCATTCCTATTGAGCATGGTTCCTGAGAACTGCATGACGTGGTTTTGTTTTGTTTTGTTTTTTTTTTTTTTTTTTTTTTTTTTGACAAGAAAAATCTCATGATGTCCTTTATTAACGTCTTCAATTTGCTCTTGCTAAGAGGACCTACAAGTTGACCCCAATTCTCAGGCTGCTTATGAATGGTCTGAATTCAAGTCTAAATGTATATAAGCTTGGAAAAGCATTGTTTCAGACAAATTCTCCTTGAAGGTCTCATTCAAAGACTTGCAATTCCATATTATTTTAGTGAGTGTAGATTAGTCATTTGGCCTTAAAACTACGTTACTAGCTTAGTGTGGTGGAGTGTGCCTTAGTTCCACAGACTACGTGAACTGAGGCTGAAGGATTGCTTCGGCTTAGGAGTTTGAGACCAATATGGGCAATACAGTGAGACCCTGTCTGAAACAACAAACAATTAAAACTATACCACTGTGACCTTAAGCACCTTAGTTCCCTGCTAATGGCATGGATTGGGGAAACATTTATGAAATAAACGCTACTACATTGTGGCTCATCTTATCCTAGTGGAATTCTAACTGTCTTTCTGCTAACTTTTTCATCGCCATTGCTAACATGAATGCTTTGTGCCTCAGAAATCTGGCGTACCTTCTAGATAGATCCTGCTGGATATGTAGAATCTATTCATTCATTCATTCATTCATTCTGAAACTATTTAATGAATTATACATTTAGATACACCGAATACTGCTTTATTCCACTGGTTTTAAAACCCAGCGGAAAGTCTGGAAATGAACAGAATTCCACGCTTATTTTTATTTTACTAGAATATGCTTTGGATTTTTAATTAGCACAGAAAAGCTGGGGTTGGCTATGATAAGAAACCACTAATTTTTTAAAAAAAATTAGTTCAAGTTCCCATTTCAAATGAGTTAGCACTAACAACATAGCAATACTGCACTTGGATTGTTTGGCATGGATCTTCTAGCATACTCTTTTACTGCCTAGTTCCCATGGAATCTCAGTCAGGGGCCTCATTTATGTGTCTAGCTTTGAGTTTCAAAAAATGCCAAGGATTGGTGTGGTTTTAAATAGGAAGAATGCATAATTTTTTGTCCCAATTGGGTCAATTATCAGACACTATGGGGTGCTATTAATACATATTTTGGGTTAAGAGGTGTAAGTGGGACTCTCTAAGGCAAACAGGGTCCTGTGGCCACCTGATACGTAGGAAGGGACTGAAGTGAGAGTCAGGAGTGGTCACACACTGGCTGTCTATATGCAAGTCGTTTCCGTTTATAGCTATATTCAAATGGAAAGCAAACGGTCACTTGGAATAAACCCCATTGTCCCCTCAACTTCTACTACTCTCTGATTACAAGGAAACAGTCATGTGGCATTTTTTTGCAGCATCTACAGACCAAGAGACAGTTGTCTGGACAAGCATATGAATCCTCCTTCCTCCCACTTTCAAATTTCCTGGTTACAAACGTGTAAATCATATTTAAAATAAATCATCACTTGCTTGCTTCTAGCTTGGCAAAGCTTGCTTACTCACTACCTAAATGTGTTGAGAATTCTGCATATCCATCTGGGTCCAGTCGAGAGCAGGGTCCAGATCAATCATTCGTGTCTGCTGGTGTTGTGGGGACAACAGAGGGAAGCAGGGAGAAAGAGCGGAGCTGCAGTGTGTGCCAGATGGGGCTGGGCTTATGGTTCTGAATAACAAAACAGAAATCTTATATTTACGGTAATTCCACTGTGTTCAGAGCTAGCACTGGGTCATTCTCCCTTGGGAAGAAGTTCAGAGGTGTGCTGAGTCAGACGGTAACTCGGTAGTTTTCTTCTAACTCTCAATGTCTCTCCTTGGCACTTGAGAAACAGAAGAGAAGCTCCTCAACCCTTGCTGTATGGTAACATCAGCAGGGACTCTGGGACTGGATTCCAGCTGGCAGGACTTTGGCCCTGCTCTCGCCATGCTTTGGGTCAAAGGGTACGAGGTGCAGCTGGGACAGAGAACCCCTAACACAGAGACTACAGTGGATACCCAGGCCTCAGTCCTGTCCTTTATTGACCTTGGCTAGGCGACTTCCATCTCAGGACAGAATTTAACATGGGCTCCTCGGTACCTCTAACTTAAATTTCAGTGATTGAAGAAATGAGGAGGGCAAGAATCTCATGCTGTGCTAACACCGACAACATAAACGTTGACTGTTGTCAACAACAACAGTCCACAGTAAATGACCAGAAAACACATGCACACCACTCTTCCACGAGCAAACAGCCACAGTCATCTTGAAAGAGGCAGCAAATAATTCTACAAGGTAACTGCTAGACCCTTTTGTCCCAGTTGTTCCCTAACAATTCTCTGAGCACTAAACATCCACGGACAAAATTTATTACTCCTTGGATCTCCTTTTCATTGCTTCCATTTCTCTTTTTAGCAGATCTTTTCACATTCTTACTACCAGTAACCCAACAGCTTACCTGAGTGACAGCAACATTGGTTCCATCGGTGACTTCCACGCTCATGTTGTAGACCGACCTTTGCTCTGCATCCAGAGGTTTTGCAATGACAATTGTCCCAACACCCTTCTCTGCATCAAAAGAGCTGTCAAAATTCCCCCCTGATGATTTCACAGAAACAACATGAAATTAGCACATCTGAGAAGGTATTAAGTGTCTGGAGGCATATATCTTTACAGGGTGTTTTTATGTAAATACATTTTCTGGCAGGCATTTCTATAACTCAATTTCATAAATCATAATGGGACCTTACTATTTCTAACTTAATTAGTATTTCAAAAGCCATACTCTATAAGCATAACAAAGGACCCCCAAACCAATGAATTGTAAATAAAAACGTCAGCATTAATGTAAGACTCCATAAAACACTGAGAAAGCTAACAGCCCTTCAACCCCTCTTAGCTACCATGCTGCAAACCTCAAAAACTCTTTAACTCTTTCTCCAGTAGAATATATTCTCAGTAAAAAAAACTATTCCAACTACAATGAACACAAATGAGTTGATACTTTCAGGTCTATTCTAGGATTGTTGGTAAACATTTGACTGGTAGGATTCAGAGTCCCTCAATTAAATGTCAGAAATAACTTTATGAATAGAGCAAGATGAGAAAATTTTTAAGAAATGAATTTCATATGAAAAAGAGTCCCTCTGAACATTGGGACATTCAGAGAAATGTTTTTGGCATCTTGGCAGTATAAATTAATTTCTACCATGTTCTGTTGGTTTCTCAGAAACAACATGAAATCAAAAAATCAGAGGGGTATCACATGGATATTATATTGCTGATATAACACTAGTGTACTTATAAGGCAATTTACAAAGGTTTAGTAAAAAATTGTCTTTTGTCCTTTTGTCTTGAAAGACATACTTAAGATGGTTAGAATTGGGATCATTTTATCTCTGAACAGAAGTGTCACTTACAAACGTCCCCAAATTAGAGACCTTTTTAAGGAAGAGAAAGGAGAGCTGTCTAAGTGTTGGAACAATTTTAATTAAATGTCAGTGTATGTTCACCAGTGCTATTTATTTTTGTCGGGAATTGCATGTGTGAAATACTTTTGATTTCAGATGGTAATTTTATTTAACTTTAGTATGTAGGGCAATGCATTTATTGAATTTCATATTTTAGAAAAAAGAAGCTTGGCTTTTTTTTACTTCCTACAGTCTTGGGATTTTATTTTTCTGGTCATTTAACAACACATTTTCATGATATTACAATATTAAGTAGGCAGATGAGTGAAGGGGGTAAAGAGTCATACCTGAATTACTGAAATTTGTGCTACAGTGAAAAATAAACAATACGGTTTTCTTTCTAAAAATGCAGGCATGTATAGTCTAAGTACCAACTGCTTGCAGCTACCATGTTCACATAGGATTCTTTAATTACTGGAGAGAATATAATTGCCTTTGACATTTAATTAAATCTGTAGAGATACAGGGGTACCAGAGAGTTGCTTAGAGATGATATATGTTCCCAAAAGTTTCATCTAGAAGAATCATCTTCCAATTACTGTCGTTAGTTGATTTACCGAGAAGCACTAGAGGCTAACTCCAGAGAAGAGTTTTGAGGATTTGGAAGAGGGGGTTCCTAGCCTGAGAGGAGAAGCGGGTCTTAGCGTGTGACTTCTTGTTGAAGGTAAGGCTTTCTTGATTCGCTCATGGAATAACACAGACAGCTGATCTGGGTGATGGGCAGCACCAGTCATCTTAAGTAGCAGGGCTGATCATTTACCTCCAAGAAGTAAATGCTGGGGGAAAACACAAAACAAAACTAACACCTTGCCATGGAAACCCTCAAGGAAAGGTAATAACAACCTCCAAAGCCATGAGAGAAAGACAAGGCTACAGCCCCTCAAGCTCCTTCTGGAGGATATTAACTCCTGGTCTCAGTCACAGCTCAGTTAACAGTAGAGGGTCTGCCCCCACCTCTGGGGCTGTTCACTTTCCTAAAGATGAAGACTGAGAGTTTTGTCTAAACTGCGGTTGTTTTGGAGGAATAGTGGTCATACTCCTGTGCCCGCTATTTAGGAGAGTCACACATTGGAGAGTCAAAAGAAGAGAATTGTGCAAATTATTTCTCATCCGGAGGATGAATGAAAATGGAGCTGAAAGGCAAGAAGAACAAAGGAGTCCAGTTTCCGTTCTTGCTCTCACTGACTGTGGCTCTTCAGAGTCTGTGCAAAACACACTCTCACCCTACCTGCGTAGGGGTATAACATTTGAGTATTTATGTGTTTTTATGTAGACTATATGTGATTTCATAATTTCTGCTCTTGTTAATATTTTGGCAACTTTTGCAAGTTTGTTTTTATAATTCTCTCGTCTCTTCTTTGCACACATATGCCATGTCTGAATTTGTTTCTTTCATTGGTTTCTGCAGTTTAAATACTCCTGATGACATACGTTTGATGCCATAGAAGAGACAGATCATTAGCATCCTTGGTATGTTTTCCCATCCACCAATGTGGCCAGCATGCTATAATACTCATTTCTAGGACATTTGCTCCTAATTAAGCCAAGATTTCATTTAAATCAAGATCTTCCCAAGTTTCCAAATGAATTTCTGACAAGGGACCTAGAATCTAGACCAGCAGTTCACCACCAACCTGCACACAATTTAATAACCTACACTTAAGCAACCTATTTCCTAAGCGACTCCAGGCCTTTCCCCCAGGTCTTGTTTTTCCAAGCTCCATTTTAGCCTGAAAGGTGATTTCAATTTTGTGAGAAAACAAGTCCAAATCATCTGGGGTGAGGCCATTAATCAATACGAGGAGTCCGTCTTCACTAGCAGCATTCCGTTTAGGTAAGATGTGCTTCCTCAGAGCCAGTAACAGAACATGCAAAGCCAGAGTGTGCTGGGTGCAGCAGCATGAGGCCAAAGAAAAAGTGGGCAGAAAAGGACACTGCAGAGCTGGCCCGAGGCCCAGCCAAGTGGGGTTCAGAAATGTCACAGCCTGTGCGTTGCTGCAGGGGTGTGCGGCAGAGGTAGTTAAAAGCGAGGTGGTGAACAGCCCACATGACAATAATTCACTTTAGGGACATTTCCCTTGAGCCATTGTTGATCAAGGCAGGTGTCATGGAGTAAAGACAGAGCTGAAGAGGCATACTGAATTTCTGTTATAATATTCTAAAATTTGATGTATTAAGGAGGGACCCTGGAAAGACTCTAGAAATGGGACATGGATCAAAACACTTGGAGCCAGCATCTACCGCTCATTTAGCTGGGGTATAACTGAACTGCGCTCTTTTGTAAAGGTGGGTATCCCATTTGAGGTTTGAGATTTATGGATTACATCATCTCTCCATCTCAAAAGGTAAGGCACACCAGACAGAGGGAAAAGTGCCTGCCGGTGCCATCTCTGCACAAAGAGACCCAGTGATTAAAAAGGGCTCAGTTTCCAGGTTCTCCCTCTAGAAAATAACTCCGCTCTTGCACGTGTAATTATAAAAATACCAACCCAAATCTAGTAGTCACCCAGGGGGAGGTGTGACTGAGGAGCTTCCAAAATCCTGAGCAACTGCATCTCAATGAATGGAGGGAGCCGTGCACAAGCTGTTCGTTCAAGTTCAGCATGTACACCCGACTGAAGGAGAGACAGTCCGTGCCAGTTACGGTGTGATTATGAATACATTTCTGCCTTGGAATGAAGCGAGCGCACAGCAGGCTGATCTTTAAATGGCGGGCTGGAGCTGAGGGCAGGAAAAAGTGGCAGGAAGAGGGAAAGAGACCTAGAATTTACTCCAAGGTTCCTTTTCTTAAAATAATGAGTATGTGAAGTATTTTTAGACTTTTATTATTTTGCTAAAATTTCCTCAGATATGATTCCATAAATGACACTGTTGCTATGGAGAAAATAGAGTCCTGTTTGTGATGAAGTTGGAGCAAGAAGGTAGAATGGGAGAGATGAAGTGTTTGATGTCCACTGACTAGCTGCACAGAGTTTACCCCGACGGAGGAGCAGATGAGTTAGAAGTAGATGTGGCTGCCTGGTTAGGGTGGACCTCGGGGTGCCCAAGCTCTGAGGTGTGTCTAACCTCATGTGGCGGAAGACAGCTATGATTATCAACAAGGCCATGACTGGTCTTTTCTAACAAGGTTTTTCAATGAGGACAAGGGCTTGCTTTATCTTGATGAAGTCTAGTTTATCAGTTCATGTTGTTAATATTTTTTTTTATTCTTTACTTTCTTTGGGGGGGCTGCCACCCAGCTCCAAAATAAATCACAGGTACAAAAAATTAGAGACTTATTTAAAACTCAAAATTTCTTTTCTTTCTTTTTTTAACATTTAGTAGAGTAATTGTATTTTTCAAGCATGAACTGGAGGATTATATTATGTGTCAATTTCACAAGGTTGGCCACACCTGGCTGAGGATGAAGCTACTACCAGCGCTGTGGGGAAGAGTGGCTCTTCTTCCTGACCCAAACCTGCATCATCTGTTACTGCGCAAGAGACAAGGCTACAAAAGGACAGGTGTAACTTGAGACTGCAACAGCCAAGGATTCCAAGTCACAGAGATCTACATCCCACTGAGGAAACAAGCTAGCCTTCGTCTATCAACACAGAAGGATAGTTGAGAGGCCAGCACAGAGGGCCGGCCCTCAGAGATTCCTGTTAATATTGGCTTTCTCCTTCCTGACATTGGGTGAGGCAAATCAGGTGATTCATGTGCTATCTGTATGCAAGGTAAAGCGTCTATTTGATTCAGGTAAAAGCCAAAAACTGGAAATCAGCATGCCTCAATTCTTAGTGCAGAGTTGCTAATGATGGCGGCCTTTACAATTCAAATATTTGCCATCAGGATGAGATTCTGGGGCGAGCTGAGAACCAGATTGTCTGCACATTGGAGGGTATGTAAATTAAGGGATGGCTGAGGGGAAGTCAGAGCCTCCTGAGAAGTGTGAAGATACATGACAAAGCCACAAAGGATTGTGGGTTATTTTTGTTCCCTTCATTTTCTTTCCCTCTTAACAAGGAGAGGGAGCATGCTGTGTGTTGGGCTGTTCCAATCCACAACAGCTGAACTTTATTATGTTTCCTTTTAATTGCAGCTCTCTTAGCTTGGTTATAAGTAGGGCTTGTTTCTGAGAGCTGAGGAGAGTCTCTCGCTACAGAGAAAGCTGTCTCTTTGGAGTCAAGAGAATGCAAGTGTCTAGGCGTGGGAACAAAGTGCTGCTCCCATGGAGTTTCTGTGACTTGGGGATCCGGTGGGAGGCAAGGAAACTCATGGAAGTCTGGAAATGTGCAAGTGAAAGCAGGCTGTCAAGGGGAAGTGGAGACTAAAGCATTTTTGTCGTTTGACTGAATGAGGATTCACCGCACTGAGCAGTTTAAAGCGGTACATGCCAGATCAGGATGGTGTTTCCTGGGCCCTTTAGTGTGTTCTTCGTGGGCATCTGGATGCCCTAGGTCTGTGGTGGAAACACCAGTTGGCGTATTCTTCACAAGTGTACTTGTGCAAAACCTGTTGGGACCTGAGGCTTCATTTCAGATCCACGTGGACCTCGCCTATCCCATGCTTAGTCTCTGTATTTCTGCACAGGTCGTGGGTAGCTTTAAGTACTAAGGGGCATTGCCCATTCTTGGTCCCATCTGTGCCAGTCTGATCAAAGGCGGTGCTTAGGCAAGGAGGAAGGGAAAGCTCACAAAGGGAAAATGTGCAAGAATATTTGACAGTAAGGATGAAACACCTGAAGATGATAAAGCAAATGAAGGGCTTTAAAAGAAGGAAGAGCGTGTCAGCGCACTGGGTAAAATATGACTCTGGCAGACGAGCCGCGTTTTCAGAAAGATTTGGTAGAGGACAGCGTCTCCACTGAAAGCCGCCAGCACCTGGGGAAAGGACCTGACGTCCTACAGTGAAGGAAAATGTTGGCATCTCAAGACACTGTTGGCGGGACGTGAGGATGGAAATAAAATCATGATCTGTTTGGGCAGAAGGCCCAGTAAGTTCAATTTGTAGAAGAAACTTGACAAACTGTTACCAGATTTACAGAGAAATATCTGTGATGGAGAAGTGTGCAGAATCCCAGTCCTGGGATTCTTCACTGATAAAACCATTCTTACTCATGCGGTAGAATGGATGAGGAGGTAATCTATGGAAGAGAACAGTGCTTAGAAACACAAAGAGACACGAAAGCTAACGCCATACTTTGCATATCATTTCTGGATTATATTTGGATGCCAGGAAGTATGTTCTCTATAAACTCCTCTTTCTCCTTGGACTAGTGAGGATATTGTGAGTGGTGTACAATGGAATGTCACAGTGACCTTGGGCAGGGCCAGGAGTCCCCAGTAGGGTTAGCATGGCCGCTGGAGGCATCACCAACAGTCTCTGTACTCTTCACTAACACGAGGGTACAGAATGGCGATGGGATAAACATAACTGGAAACATACAGTTGCACTGATAACATAATACTGAAAGCCTGTGCATGCTAACCTGCGTACTTGTGGCGATCCTGAAGAACTGCATACTGGCCCGAGTAATCGATGCAGGTGATTGGCCACACTGAACATCTGAGAAAGGAATGCTGGTGACATTTACCATTTATGGGCAGCCTGAGGTATGTGGGGTAGAGGTCGGATGCTCACGCAAGGGACAGGAAGCACTGTTATCCAAGAAGAAATGCTTGCAAACTGAGTTGGTGAAGGAATGGGCAAAGGTGTCTAGGCAGACAAAAGACAACTCCCAGGGGGACATGTGCAATGCTTCCTTGCATCAAGAAAGAAGAAACTATAACATACAGTAGCTGGACAAGCAGAAAACTGCTGAGATGGTGGTAAGACACTTCTCATGGGGCCAGAAGATGTTCCATCTCAAACATGTCGGCAGAGATGAAGAAGGAATTGAAAGGATGGTCATATGAAAAAAATGATGAGATTGATGTCAATTGAGTAAAACAAAGATACACTATGTTTCGCAGAATAAGATGCAGAAGGCAAGCCCTTATTTGTTGGAAGTTCAGGGGACTCTTTGAGGTTTGACCCGGACACAGAACATTCTTTTACTATGCTTCATTAAACCAGATGTGGAACCTCCTAAATGCCTTCCCCAGACCCAGCTGTTCTGGAGGAGTAGCTGGTTCCTACCTATCCTGGCCAGACATTATGACTGGCTACTCCACTGCTCACAGAGAATCGTGGGAAGCGAGCTCTGGCTCAGCCCTGCTCAGACCCTGGCAGGCACACTCGCCCTTTCGCTGACAACAGCCTGTTTCATTTCCCCGTCCTGCACACGTTTCCTCTCCAGTGCTCTCCCTGCAGGTCTGTGGAAAAGCTGTTTTGCCCTTTTCCTTTTGCAGCCTGGCGTGCTTGCTTGCTTTCTTTCAAGGAATTTAAAGGTTGGCTCCCAAGGACTGCCCTGCCCGCCTCGTTCCATCTGCTTTCTCTATTCAGGGTGAGTGGAGGCTTACTGGCTACACATGCACATCTAGGTTCTGCTTCCTGCCTCTTGTGGACAGCAGCCAGGGGACTCTCCTGTGGGGTTTTTAGTCTGAACGCCACTACTGCTGAAAAATAGAGGGGCGGGAATACATTTTCATTTATTTTCAATTGGAAAATTCCCAGTTAAATAAACTAACCTACAAAAAGATAAAAACAAAACAACAAAAAGCCCACATACCTCAAAAGCAATGGAAGAAAATCAAAACAATCCTCCCCAAACCCCAAACCCATTTAATCTCAAACAAAGAAGTCATTGGATACGGGTAATGAGATAGCTGTTAGAGGCATGTATGAAATCTGTGGGGCTGCATTTCAGTCTGTCACAGGCAGTTATGAAAGATGTAATTCAATTTGTTTAAAAAAAACGTAAAAGGCAGATTGGATAGCTGTATTTTAGCAAATGTGTTTGCACTAAGGGTACCTTCTGTTGAACAGTTCTGCCCACAAGCTGTCTGTAGAATATAGAACATCTCTCGAGCATGCTTGCCACCTTGAAGCAGGGCAGTCGGGAGCAGAAAAAAAAAAGAACAGAATGCAGAAAAAAAGGTGAAGAAAAAGAGAGAAATGAAGGACAGCAAGTCTAGTACCATCAATACATTTAGAATGAGATTAGCCAAGTGTGACAATAGAATTAAAATGACACACAGAAAGACATTAAGTTCGCAGTAACTAACATACACTGTGGGAAATCCAGCCAGAGAGCACTTTCCGTTCAGCTGAGCTACAGAGTCGGAACGAAAGCACAGGTCGCTTATTCATTTTACTGGCTCTTTTGCATCTCAGCACTACTTTTAACTTTAGGCGTCATTGCTAGGCTTTGATTTTTTCTTTTGCCTTTTAAATTATTTTAAACTGTATTAATTTATTTGTTTGGCTAGTTCTTTCAAACAGTGAAGTTCATTTCTTGATATGCTCCAGAGACTTCGACTTACCAATGATGTCGAACCACAGAGGGGTATTGGCTGGTTGCACAGACACCACCCCTACAATCTCTGTCACTCTGTCACTTTCCATGACTGTGAAGTTGTAAAATGGTTCATCGAAGGTCAGCGGGATAGGTGAGGGTGGGGGCTTCTTAATCCATTCAATATGGAGGCGAGCCGTGGAGGATTTCTGGGGCCGCCCATTGTCCACAGCCTTGATCTACTCACACACGGAGGGAACACAGAAAGGTGGCTTAGCGCTCGTGTCTGTGGGAGTTTAAATCCTTCACCAACACAGTATGGAGCTAAAAGACCATTTTCTGCAGTGTCACGAGAAGAGTGGGATCCTGTTGAGAGTGAACTCTGGAATGGGAGCAGATGGTCTGTTTGGGAACAGGACCCACACTACGTTTGCCAGAAGCCAACTTTTGAGAAATAAAACCATGAAAAATAAATGTTATACTTACAGTTCACAGTATTTCAGGGCCAAGAGTCATAGTTTACGTGAGTAAAGATCTCTAATTTGATTCATCACAGCATGACTCTGACGTTACCACTATTGAGAGCTGATGGGAACTGAAGTACATGGGAGTCCCTATTTGTGTGGTAGCATGTATGAACATGTGCATACACTTGTGATCATGTACATGTAAACATATGGATGTTTGACTGTATGTAAGTATATCAGATGTGTGCACATGTATACATGCATATGAGTATAATTTTGTGCATAGGTACTGAGTGTGCATGCTTGAGTCTGTGCATTCATACATGAATATGTGTAAGTACATTCTATATGTGCATGCATATGTGTTTATGCATGTGTGATGTACGTGTGTGAGCATGGGCATGAGTGTTTACAGCATGTGAGAATATGTATGTACATGTGTGGGAATATGTGTGCAAATGTGTATGTATTTACATGACATATGCATGTGAATGTATGTATGTTTGTGTCCCTGTGTGTGCGCATATGATGCCTCTCTGTGTGTGTATCACAGCCTCTTCTGCTTTTCTCTAGATACATACTGTCCTTTATCTACAACACCTTGAGAATGATTTAGGAACCAAGATTTGTGGTTGGGAGTAGAGGCGGTGGAATTGGAGAAGGTTTGCCGATAAGATCCATCAAAGGAAACTCATCATTTAGGACATCACCCAGCAAGGTAAGAGTTCTCGCCTGCAACTGGCTCCCAGAAAACAGCCTTTCACAGCTACTTCTGTGCTCTCCACATGAGAGATTTGCTGATCAAAGGAGTGGACATGGATAAGAGGGCTCGCCCTACCCCACTGACGCTCTGGAACTGAACCTTACCGTTAGGATGTCATAGCTTCCTGCCGTGAATTGCTTTCTGGAGGAGACCATGCCAGTTTTGGGGTCAATAAAGAATTTTCCATCATCATTCCCATCCACAATACTGTAGGAGATTTCTGCATTGGGACCTTCATCGCGGTCAAACGCAAAAGCCCTGTAAATGGGTTCTCCTCTCTTCTTGCGGTCACGTTCTGGAAGCTTGATCTGGTAGACCTTCTCCGGGAACTGGGGCTTGTTGTCATTTTCGTCCAGAACCTGAACGACCACCCAGATCGCTGACTGTTTTGGAGAAGAGCCACCATCTGTCACGGTCACCTGAGTTTGGAAAGGGAAAGATAATGCAATCAGGAAATATGCATATTGTCATCTACTTGTCCCTGCTCATCCCACACATGTCCCATTTATGCACCATCTCAGTTCTTCTGAGTACTATTATTTATATAGAATAGGCAAATTTCTCATAGTTAGCGCATAAGAGAGTGAATGCCTCCAAACCAGCAACAAAAGTCATTGCTGGAGGGACAGTGGCAAAGCGGAACAGTTTGTAGTTGGTTTCTGCTGCTGAGCCACATGCCATGTACTAGTGACTTTTAGAGGCAGAATTATTTGAGTGTGGAGCCTGGGGGAAGAGGCTAATCCACTCTCTGAGGTCTCCCAGATAAGCACTAATAACCTAGTCAGTTCACAAAGTCCCTCTTTGTGATGCCACCCCCTGGGATGGTCATTTCTACATAGGAATTCAGTGGGGGCATCGCAAAGGAGAGGACCACAGCAAGGGTTTACTGTTGAGTACAGCAGAGAAGAAGACTTTGCAAACTTCAGACTACATAAACTAGGTGAATATAAAATACGCCTTCCCAATAGACACAAAACACATTATATAATCATCATTACACATTGACCCATGAGGGCTTCATCAAATCCACAGACAAAGCTTTTACCATCCAAGCTCTGCTCTTCTCTTTTTTTCCCCATCCTGCTGTGAGCTGAATTGTTTTCCCCTTGAAGCTCAGGTGCTGAAGCCCTGCTCCTACTTGGGCCTGTTATGCAAATGAGGTCTTCAAGGAAAGGGGTTAAAAGGTTGAATGAGATCATAAGGGAGAGTCCTGACCTAACTGGGTTCTTTATTAAAGATGATGTCTGATGTCGCACTTCTCTCTGCTGTGTAAGTGCGCAGTAAGAAGGTACAAACCAAGAAGAGCCCTTCACCAGAAATAAAACCCTGCCGGACCCTGACCAGGGACTTCCGAGTCTCCTTATTATCCTCTTAGTGTTTGTCTCATTCTCAAATTCTGGTTCCCAGCATAACAACATTCGCAGATGGGGCTAGTCATGGATGGGATTAGTGTCCTTAAAAAAGAGGTTAAGAAAGCTTGCTCATCCACTTCTGCCACCCTAAAACACATCCAGAAAGTTCCATACGTGAGGAAGGGTGCCCAGCACATGGCTATTCACGAGCTCTGTTGGTGTGATCAGTTTACAAAGGAAAACACCTTAGAGTGGAAATTTGTGAACAAAAGATGTGCCCACTTAGAGCTGCAGAGCCTGGGAAGTTCACAGTCAAGGTCCCAGGAGAGTCTGTCTGTGAAGGCCTCCCTAGAGAAAGAGCGTTCTAGATGTGCCTCTGATGACAGACGGGTACAGACAAGCCCCACCTGCCTTTTTAAAATAACGACACTAATTCTATTATGATCTAACCATACTTAATGGTCCTGCCTGCCGATACGGTTGTGCTGGGCATTAAGAGTTTGAGAAGACAAACATTCAGACAAGAGCAGGGAGAGCAGGGAGTCCAGCTTCCTGCTCTTACTTCTGGGGAAGGCTCCTCCTGGCTTGCAGACCCAGCTTCCTGCCTTCTGCTCAGAGGTATCTGGTGTCTCTTCTTTATATTGTTATGGAGCAACAAGAAGAGCATGAAATAATTGGTTTGTGCTCTAATGATCCATAATTTATAATTCACATAGCATATTTTAAATAAACTTAACAGTTACTACAACATAACGGAAATAATGGGGGGGATCAAAATTATTGGAAAACAGATTAAAGTTTCTTTTTCAAATAGAATTGTAATGTAGTTTAGCTTCTCTTATGAGCTGCCTGGTAGGGTAGCCTTAATAGATTCAAGATAGATTTCTATCAGAGTTCTTGCTTTTGTTGAAAAAAAAAATGAATCAATGCAGTTTTCTTCCAGTGTTATGTTCTCTGTTGGCTTCCTGGGCTTTGTGCAAGTACCACTGAGGCCAGATGTGTACCCAGGCTGGCTGTGGGCTCCTGGGTCTGTGAGTCCTGAAAAGACAGGCTTTGTCCTGCTCAGTGCTCAGATTCTACTCCAGGAGAACTGTGTTGGCCCAGATTGATTTCTTGGCTGCTCAGGGGCTCTGCCTCTTCCCTGCCCAAGCAGTTCTTTTCCAAGTCAAGGCAACTCTAGCTCTTGCAGTTTTCACTGTGCCTCAACCTCCTCTTACCTGACTGTCAGTATGTACCCTGCAGAGGGCTCTGAGGCCAGGTAGCTGAGGAAAGAGCCCCTTCTCACTGGAATAGCCCACCAATTAGCTAACAGCTCACATACGGAGAATGCAAACTTCCAAGTGCAGGCCCTTTCAGTGTGTCGAAGCACACTGACTATACCAGCTCAGAAACATGCTCTCAAGTGCACCAAGCGGGAAGTGGAGGAAGGTCCATTGCCCCCGTGACATCCCCTTCCCACATGATCTTACCTCCTCACCCACAAATTCAACTGCTACCTCTTTACTGGAATTCTCTAGTGTGTATCTATCATCCCCATTTGCCAAAATACTGTAGCCTATTACTAGAAATTCATATTAGACCACTTGTATTTACCTCCAAAACATCAGAAATAAACAATATGACTCCAAACTTCTTTCTTTTATATACATGTTCTCAGTGACACTGGGATCTTGGGAGTATACTCAGAAACTCCCTTTGTCTAAACTCCACATCAAATCAAACGTGGTCCCTTATGAGCTACTTCCAGGCCAAGCTCTGCCGCTACACTCTCCCAGGGCGGGTCTCCCTTGGTAGATTACTGGAGCCTCCTAATGTCTGAGGAGTCAGACTTTGCCTTTATTGTGGAATGCCAGTTCTTTTTTAAAGGGGTGACCATGCCGCTGACCTGTGGTGAAACACTGCAGAGCTCCCTAGAGGACAAGGACCTGGACTGTCCTCACAGACTGTACTCACTGTGAGGACAGTCAAGTTTAGGGACCAAGAGCTTGGTTAACATCCCCATTCTGTTAATATATCTTTGCCCAATGCTCCTGTCATTACACCTGACTTGGTTTAGGGAGCCATTCCTCTTCTTCAGACCTGTGGGTGTGTCCTTTGACTGTCCTGGCGCTGTCACCAACCCACTGTATGCACAGAGCCAGAACACAGTTATCACTCTGCACCGCAAGTCTGTCCACAAGCTGGCCTGCACTCAGTCCTCCCGGCTGTGACTACCTTGGGGTCAAGGGCAGCTTATTGACAGCACCATGCTCTGGCCCCCAATTTAGATCAAAATAACAACTAACTGTTGTCAAAACTAGGTTACATGCATGCATCTTTACAACAAGCGGAAAGAACATTCAGACATGGAGGCATCTCAGAGACCAAACAATTTTTCCACCTGCTTTGTGGTATGAACCATGGATGAACTGTGCACTCTGGAGTTTGTTCTCATACTGCAACTCTGAAAGCACGGCCAGCTCAGGACCTAGGGAAATGCCTTTCTGCCAGTCTCCACATAATGCTTCCCCTGTGGGTATTTGTCTGCATCTGCTGAGATGACTGAGTCGTGTGTTCACCTCTTGACACACTGTGAGCTACTAGAGGCTGGGACTTAAACCTCCTCTTCAACTCTCCCGGAGCCTAGGCTTCTCTTAGTGCTTGCTGCAGTATGTTACCAACCTTAGCTTCAATTCTCATGACTGCTTCTCTAAATGCCCTCCTCTACATTGCTATGTTCCTTCCTGGAGTGTGAGGCACCAATGACTCACAGCCTCAGACCTTATTACTCCAAGCTGCCTATTCTGTTTGGATGTAGAGTGTCACCACAAAGAGCCCATTGGGTTGCGTTCTTAAGGCTCTAGATAATGACACTAGATGAAGAGGTTCTGGAAGCTTTAGGCATTTGGAGATTGCTGGTGGAAGTTGATCATGATGGGTATGTTCTTGGGGGCTATACCTTGTTTCTCACTCCCCTCCTTTCCTCTTTTTGCTTCATGTCTGCCATGGTGTGAGCAACTTCATCCACATGTTCCTACTGCCATGATCTGTCTGCTATGGTGTGAAAAACTTCATCCACACATTCCCACTGCTTTGATCTGTCTGCCATGGTGTGATCAACTTCATCCACACATTCCCACTGCTATGATTTGTCTGCCATGGTGTGAGCAACTTCATCCACATGTTCCCACTGCTGTGATCTGTCTGCCACAATGTGAGCAACTTTATCTACATGTTCTCACTGCTATGACTTCAGTTTGTTTGCTTATTGTGTGTTACCATAGGTTCAGAATTGACAAGGCCAAGAATTATGGACTAACATGTCTAAAACCACAACCCAGAATGAATTCTTCCTTTCATAAGCTGTATCTCTCGGGCATTTCATCATAGCAGCAACAAGTCTAACTATTACAGTGTCCTAGGCTCAGCCCACCTACTGGACTTTGCCAATATGGAAAGAGCAATTGCATTGGAGATCAAAGCAAAACCCACTGCGACAAATCCCCTCCAGCTTCTCCTCTGTGTCCTTTCCCATGCCAGGCGCCACCATGCTCGGGCACAATCCATGTGGAGGTGCCCCTGCTCTGCTGTGGCCTGACAAATAAACACTGCTATTCTAACCTAGGTTTTCTGATCTTCTCTGTAGATCAATAATCAGTAGCTCCAGCCATTAATCAGAAGCTTGAAAGATTCATTCTTGTGGGCCTACAGCTAACGCCTAAGAAAGGGGACACAGAACAGTCAGTGCCGCTGAGAAGACAGTGAGGTCAAGTCCATTTCATTTTTCTTTGAGGTCCTTGTGGTCTGTGAGTGCCAAACAGATGCAGAGGTAGAGACAGAGGCAGAATGCACCGGGGCCCACTGGATTCAGGCGACACAATGACAAAAGAAGCAAGTTTTCACAACTATTTCTGGATGATAAAAGAACTTTAGAGGACCACAAAGATGTGGACGTTAAGAAATTTGGGTGACACCAGCCAGGGAGAGGCTAGAGCTGCTTTCACCAGACTTCCCTGATATTTATTGTAGTTGTCATTCCCTGTCCCATAGAGCATGGAAATATAACTTCCTGGAAGCCGAGACCCCGAGACTTGTCTAGTGCCTCGTCCAGTGATCACGAGAATATCTGAGAACATATTTACTCTATCTGAGCTGGAGAATTCAAATTCGACATTCCTTCCTACTGTCAACTGATCATAACCAGCTATTCCAAGGCCAATCTATTTAATATTTCAAACCCTTGTTTGAGGAGTCCATAGGAGCCTACATGTTCTATGTTTGCCCTTGACACTGTAACATGTTCTTACTTTTTGGTTTTGTTTTATGAGCTTATTTGTTACATTTCTTTACAAGATATTTGTTAAATTATGAGACCCAGAAAGCATGATTCTAATCTATTCTGTTCAAGGATATTTCCTGCCATACAGAACAGTACTATGAAGGTCAGTTTTCATTGTCAACTTGACCCAACCTAGAATCACCTAGGATGACAGCCTCGATAAGGAACCATCTAGATCAGGCAGGG